CAATTTGCAGCTTCTAGACGGAGGTTACAAGTGCAAAGCACCTCAAATTTATTTGAATTTAAAACTTAATCTGTACCCCAATTAAATGCATTCCATAGATGAAAAACCGAAGTAATAATGACAAAGCTAAAGTAACTCCATATTGCTTATATATATACCTGTTCTCCCATCGGAACAGCAATACAACAATCGCAGGCCCGACTCCCCATGACGCAATGCACACGCCACGAACCAGTGACGGTAACGAAGGCCGTGTCGAGGTAGCATTCGACGCTTAGGGAGACGCCGTTCATCTGGAGGGGAATCAGAGCCGGAGGATCGCACCTGCCGCCGACGTGAGGCTGGTAGCTGGGAATATCAGGGTTGTCGACGATGGCAGGATTCTCAATCATGGCGTAGAGCATGGGAGCCGAAGGAAGATACGAGCCAGCCGCCTTCTCCATGGGGGATATCGGCTTAGGAGGCGCCACGGCCCGGTCCTTGCCGAAGTAAACCCGCTTGGACAGCCGCAGGCCATCCTCCACGGCATTCACGAACTCCTCCGCCATGAGTCGGCACGGAGGAGGGAGAGGGAGCTGGTAGGAGAAGACTGTGGAGGGGTAAAATGGGGATGGAAGTGTATAGAGGAAGGTTTGGAATGGTCAATGGAGGCGAGAGAGCAGAGTTGATTCGGACGGTGCCGGACGTCCGAGAGGTGAATAAAAGGGATGAATTCTCGGCGAAATTGACGGACGTTAACCAGACGTGTATATAGCGCTTATCGGTATTTATACTTCCATCCAGAGTCCAGACAGATAGTTCTTTACCCGCGAGGGGAGAGAGATTTTTTGAAAATAAGTTCGTTCTCAAATGAAATTCACACTTTTAATTCATATAAATTAAGAAAATAAATTTGATTTTACTGTAGAGTACACTGTTGTGACACTGTTTGAACATGTTTTACACTATTTTGATGTAAATAATTTGTCAAATAAAGAAGGGAGAAGAAGTGTGAAGTTTATTTTGAACCTACTTAAAAAGGAAAGTGTGAATTTCATTTAGAACCAAAGGAAGTACATTTTTTGCAAAACTGTAAAATAAGTTCTCATACTTTTATCACAGTCAATTAGGTCTTTGAATTTATAATTGAATCAATTAAGTCCTCTATAATTTAAAACAATCAATTTGGAGGACTTGATTGATTAAATAAAAAATATGAGTATTCAATTGACTTTTTTCTAAATGTATAAAAGACCTATTTAACAGTTTTCCCTATATTTTTTAAATTTTCCATAATTTTCTTTTGTTGCAAGGTTCTTTTGTTTTTTAGCTAAATGACCATAAACTTTTTAACATCATAATAAATGTATTGCTTGACGGAGTAGCTAATATCAATAGGTATGGGCCGAAGGCAAAAAAAAAAAACAGACCCTCCTCAACATATTTGAGGTAGGTCTGGCCCACCTTTCACCAAGACTTCAACTAGGCAAGTATTGTCTCCGTCCCGTGTACATCATGGGACGGATCAGATTTCAATTGGACTCCTTCAATTAGTGGTAGGCATATGGGCACATAAGTCACGGGTCAAGTCGAGTAATACGGATTGGATTAGGGTCATGTTCTAATTTTAGAAAATTCAAATGAGGCGAGACCGGTGGGTCTCAAAAAAATTAGGAACCGAATGAGTATTAAAATTTTGACAAAATGGGAACTCGGACTGACCTATTTCAAAAATCTTATTTTAATAAACTATATTGTATTTTTTTAAGAAAAACGATTTTATTCAATAGATAAAGTGAAAATTACAGTACAAGAAAAAAAGTAAAAGAAAAGTGAACATAAATTATCTAACAAAACACGAATCTCTTCATGTTCATGAGTCTATTGACATCTATATAAACTTCTAAATTATTATCCTCAATTTCTACTCCAAATGCATCAATTTTCTTTATTTAATTCTGAGAAAATTGTCAAATAGACTCGTCTACACTTTTCAATGCATCAGTTTAGTCCTACTGAAAAACATCACATAAGTACTCTTATTTTTAAAATACAATCAATCAAACCATTTTTACCTGCTATAACAGATTTTTTTAAAAAAATAGAACTATTGATAAATCTTATAAAAATCCATATAAATTTGAAAAATAATGTAATTACAATATAAAAATATTATAAAGTAAAAATATATACTTTTTTTGAAAACGGTAAAAAAATTGAAAACTGAAAAAATAAAGCGGAAAATTAGTGAAAAAATAAAACATGTAAAAAAAACTTTTGAATAGATGTAGAATATACAAAAAATTTCATAAATGTAGACTTTGACATTCTGAAATCTTTCACAATTTCTATCAATATTTATTCATATTTTAACAATATTTTAGAGATTTTTAATATAAAAAACCTGCTATTGCGGGTCAAAAATTGATTAAATGACCAAATTGATCAATTTTTTTTAAAGTAGACGTGTTTATGTAATACTTTTTTAGTATATTGGTTTAAGTCATGAATTAAAAATAGTAGAAGAATTTATGTAACCTTTTCCCCTCTAATTTGTTTTTGTAAACAAATACTCTTAATCAATGAAATGTGACATATTAATTTAATTATCTTAATCTTACTTATATCTAAGATTCATTAAACTTTAAATTGTTCTCTTAGACATATATAGTGATTAGAAATACCACTTTGTGGTGTTGCCTTTTTAATTTATGAATGATGATGTCTAGTTTTCTACATTTCAAAACTTGGTGTTATTAAACATGTGTGGTTGTGTGCTATCTAATTTATAGATTCTTAATTAAAATTGTTAATTAAGTCAAAAATTTGTTTCATATTTTTATTTTGAATGTATACTATATTATGGTGACACTGATACTTAATTACTTTGAAAAATTATTACTTGCTAGATATGTAGTACTTTTTTAGTGTAGCCATATTTTTTACAAATAACAAGAATGGAGAATCCGGACCAAACCACCCCATTTCAAACTGTCCTTATCTCGAGACTTGGTATATGCGGACCGAACCTACATGTTAAACGAAATTGGTAGTTCTTAAAAATGTATCAATTACTCGGGTCGACCCGCACTATGACCACCCCTATGTGCAACCATGTACTGTGTGTACATACCTTTTCAAAATCATTCAATAAATATACATATATTTACATATATACGTGCTTGCTTGTGGCTCATGTATAATAAAGAGAAATTTTGTAAAAAGAAATAATAAATCAAATAGAAGCGCTATTGTTTATTCCTAAAATAGGACACATGTGCTTCTATTTAGGGAAGTTTTAATATGTTCAAATAGCTCCTATTTGGAATGAAAATGTTTTAAACTATGCGCCGCAAAATAAAATTTTCAAGCCTGGCACCCGTAAGTATACATTTATGGCTCCGCCCCTGTCAAGAAATTTATATTTAATTATAAGGAAATTTCTCAAAACAAGAACAAAACATGTGTGGTGCTCTACATTATAATTTCTGAATGTAGAGTAGTATACCTGTCCGGAATTCCTGGATAAGTCCGTCGTCCGGCTGCCTAATTTTGAGGTGGTTTTGAGTGGAATGTTTTAATGAAATTTTGTGAGCTAAGCATTTTCTCCATGAAGTGTACATTATGTCCACCAAATTTCTGCCAAAATATATATATTAAACACACTTACTTTAAAATATTTAAAATATTCTTTTCATCATAATTCAGCAAATTCATTTATTTCATAAATTTAAATAATTCAGCTGATTGCAAAAATGAGTGTTTTTCGAGTTTTTTAAGTATATGTGGCGCCATAGTGTTATATGCCTATTTGGGAAATTTTTGTCCATTTGTGGAGACCATTAATCTCATGTCTAGAGGTGGGGGCTATGGAAACTTTGTCACTAGCTGCATGACTTTTTGCTTGTACAGGGGACATTTCTTGTGACATGTTTACTTTCCTTTGCAACTTGCAAGACGTACTACACATATAACATATGGGATCATAAAAAAATAAATAATAGCTAGAGATACTACCTCCGTTCCTATTATAATTTTTAAATAGGTTTGACACACAATTTAAACTAGTGGTATTGTGTGGTGGAGAGTTGTGCAGAGGAGAAAGAAATGTGTAAGAAATGTTGTGAACCACAAATTCTTTACCAAAAAGAGAAAGTGAAAGGTTTAATTGGAACGGACGAAAAAGGAAAGTTGGAAGTTATAATAGGAACGGAGGGAGTAATACTTTATACTATATTTGATGTGTCAATAATGAAACATATAATAATCATTTTATCATTTGACATACCTAAAACTCAAAACTCATTTAAAAACAAAACTACTCATCACTCTTTTCAAATATATTATTTGAAATTATTAATACTTGAATGTATGTGTTGTGTTAACGATCTCTAATCAATTATGAGTGGTTTATACGGTTTATTGATGTTTTATGATTTACGTAGAACAATTTTTCATTAAAATTGATTTACTAGGCTAGGAAGAATCTGCCATTTTAATTGAAAAAATAGACAAAAGTAATGACAACTACCGATGATATACTTGAAATATAATCCAAAGTTTCAATTATTTCAAAATAATCTCAACTATCGAAAAAAATTCTAAAAACGATCCACCGACTCGTAAACATTATTTCAAGCATCTAGTTTAGTACTAATAAAGTAGAGTCTTTTCAATTGAAATGGATTTCTACCTAAATTGCAATTGAGTGCAATTATTAAAATTGAGTATTTTTTATTTTGCTCATAATTATTTAAGTAACAAAGCCACTACTTTCTAGATAACCGTATCTATACCTGAGGAGATAAAGGTGGAAGTCACCATTAATTAATAGATAAAGGTTAGATAACAATATCAAAGAAACAAAAATAAGAGTAATTTATTTAAATTGTTTATAATTTAAACAATTTAATTGGGTTATAACAAGATATTTTTCCTAAATCCTCTATACTTAACAGTAATACAAATTGATCTCCACCTTTCATTTAACAATGATCTCCACCGTTCTTTCTTATACTGTGTACTGCTTTTGCAAGTTCTTTTTCATTATTTCTCTTGGTCTCCTTCATCTTTTTCCTTGTGCCGCTGCAAAGAAAAGTTGCAGCAAGTCCTTAAAAGATCGTCGATTTTTACACCCTATAGCCTTGGTTGATATTTCGCATAAGGCCTTTGGATTTTCACACCTTATTATGGCTTTCCTTACTCATCTCTTTCCCGATTAAACTAATTTCTTCTGCCTCCCAATCCCGTTTTTAGAAATGCACATGACCACACTCTCTTTCGCCACCCAATTTTGATGACAAGGAACCGACCCTCATTGGCGATGCTCAAAGCAGAGATTCCCACTGCCCGTTGGTCAGAATCAGTCTCTGTATGGCGTCCAATTTTCGACGTGGCACCGGCCCTGACCGGCGATGCTCAGGACTCAGGTTCCCAATGGTGCTGGCCGGAATTAGTCTCTCAAGACCTAATGGCATCCAGACTTACCCATGTATGCTTTCATTTTCTTCGCCATCATTCACTTCAATCAGCTATTCGGCTAGTTGAATAACATAAAACAAGAATAGAACTTATGATCTCAATTCGTTAATATGTTTTCTTTATTTTAGTGTGTAATCAATTACCAATAGATTTAGCTTCTTACTCCAATTCTTTAGCTTCTTAATCAATTAGTTGTGTGTTAGTTTTTTTAATTACCTGCAAACTTTTTAGTTGTATTTTTGTAGGAGCAATGCATTTGAAAGTAGTACATTTTTGAAAGGCTATTTTTAAATGATCAAACATACATATGAGACGCTGTAGATAAATTTATAATATACACACTTCACATCGAAATATATATAATTTTCTCATTCTATATAGAATAGCTGAATCAAGCAAGTGACATATCTTTTCAAATCAAGATATTTTAGCTTAGATAGTAAAGTGCAGAAGCTCTAATAGGGCCATGATAACAAAGCTTGACCAAGATCAACACTCTTAATCTTTAACTTTCAATCTAAGCTTTTTAGTTTTATATTTGTTGATTCTTAGGCCAAGACAACACTCTTAATGTTTGCCTCTCTTTGTCGGTTGGAATCATTGGTCGAATTTTGTGTGTGCTGCATCACTCAATTCGTTATGAATTGAATGTCTAATCTCAGGGTAATATGTGTTTTTCACATTCTGGAAAACTATTTAGCAGTGGAATGTATTATAAGCAATGTAATGGTTTGTAGAAATAAAATTTGCAAAATTAGGGGTTATGAGAAGTACTTTGGAGTTGGTCATCTCAGTTTCACTTTTATTGAAGTTAGTTATCATTTTGTACTAGGAAACCTGTCCATTTAGTCCAAGTACTGTTTTTAATAGAGAACCCTTTGGTTCTACAATTTTGATCAATTTTGAATTATTTAATTTATAGTTAACTAATATCTTTGTCAATTTTGAATCGAAACATCCCCTTTTCATTATTCTTCATTCAATCGTTACTTTGGATTGTTAGTGTTCTAAGTGGAAGGTCGCAGCTTCAAAAAACGTTGTTGTGAATAAGGTGAAGGCATTACTTTTCGACTTCGCTCTTAAATGTTATGTACTAGGTGGATTTCATTTCCAATTCTTTTTTTTTAATTTTGAATGTTTTTTATGTGTTTTCATTCAATTGTAATGACCCTTTATCAATTTCCCAGGTAGTGGAGGTCATTTGCATTCGTGGATTTAAAGATGAAGGCTTTGTCCAGAACTTTTCAAGCACTGGAGGTCATTTGCATCCACACACACGTTTAGTGAAAGCGAAAGCAGAGCACCTTATATGACAACCAATTTTGTCATATAAATTGGTTTTTTAAATGCTTTCACATTTAAAATTTTATGTTTTATCAATTTCCCTTTTCCATCATTTGCAATGGAGCCAAAGATTCATTATTTTTTGACTTGAAATTATGATGGAATAAAGCAAAACGGCTCACTAAACTGTCTGTGCTTCTTTGTTATGAAGCAGCAGTCGGTCCATGCAATTTTGGACGGGTTTTTCACTATGGGTCATCCGGAAACAGTCTCTCTGTGCTTCAGTACAGGGGTAAGACTGCGTACATCTGACCCCCTACCCCACTGTAGGTGGGAGCCTTTGCGGCACTGGGGTAAATGAAAATGAAAAATGAATCAATTTCCCAAGTATTGGAGGTCATTTGCATCTGCTGGTTTGCATTACTTTTATAAAAGGCAACTATAAGATAATGTTAAACTTCTTTCCTTCTAATTAACTATCACCTTTTTTACACTTAAATTTATCTTTCCTTCTTTCCTTCTTTCACCTATTTATTAGTTAGTGAAGTTTTATTTAATTACATTACCATTAATACTTTTCTTCAAGATAAACAACTATAATTTCATCCAATGACAAAATAACACATAATTAATTCTATCCTATGTAGTTGTATACACTGTGGAGTTTCAGAAACGTGGATTGCCACATGCTCATATTGTGTTATGGTTGACGCGAAAGGACATAACTATATTGGCATCAGACATTGACAGCATCATCTCAGCTGAAATTCCGGATGAGAAAAATGACCATGATTATTATGTTGCTGTCAAAGAGTTAATGGTGCACGGGCCTTGTGGGGTTCTGAACAAATCTTCGCCGTGTATGGAGAATGGTCACTGCACGAAACACTTTCCGAAGAAATTTGTGAGACGTACTGCAATTGATGGAAGTGGATTTCCCATTTACAGAAGAAGAGACAATGGAAGGAGTGTAATGAAGAATGAGACTCCTCTTGACAATAGATTTGTCATCCCTCATAACCGTACATTACTGCTCAAGTATGGGGCTCACATTAATGTTGAGTGGTGTAATCAAACCCGGGCAGTGAAATACCTCTTCAAGTACATTAATAAGGGTAATGATCGGATCACAGTAGCATTCTCTGAGGCATCCGACAATCGTAAGGCAGAAAAGGTTGATGAGATCAAAATGTATTACGATTGTAGATATATCTCTGCATGTGAAGCGGCTTGGAGAATCTTTGGATTCCACATTCATTATAGGGACGTCGCAGTTGAACGTCTAAGCTTTCATCTCCCTGGGCAACATAGTGTGTACTATAATCCTAAAGAGTCTGTCAGTTCTGTTCTTAGACGTCCTACTATCCACACCACTAAGTTTCTAGCTTGGATGCATGCAAACAGTGTGTATCCTCAAGCTAGGAGCTTGACTTATGCTGAATTTCCTACCAAGTTCACGTGGAAAATCAAAACAAGAGAGTGGGTACCAAGACAAAGAAGCACCGCAATTGGAAGACTATACTTCATGCGACCTGGAGCCGGAGAGAAATATTATTTAAGGATGCTTCTTGGTGTCGTGAAGGGGGCCAGGAGTTTTGAAGAACTCAGAACAGTTGATGGAGTCATACACTCGACGTTCAGAGAAGTTTGCTCTGCACGTAGTATGTTAAATGACGATAAAGACTATATAGATGGACTTATAGAACAAAGTCATTGGGCAACAGCGCATGAACTTCGCGTCACATTTGTTCATCTTTTACTACAAGAGTCATTATCTATGCTCAGTATGGTTTGGGAGAAGTGTTGGCCATATCTATCTGATGATATACTCTACACTATTAGGAAGAATCTCAATGATCAATGTATGTTTATTATTTAATGACATTCCTTAAATTTAGATAAATTTAATAAATGCCAATATTAAGAGTGATGTAGATTTACAATATGCAAGATATTTTGAAATTAAAAATTACCTTTTCATATATATTATAGTTAACGATCATTATTCACTAATATCAAAAATTTGAAACTTTTTATTGTAATAAATTGCATATTGATCTCAGGGTAAAATTTACTTTTATGTCATAGATAATTTTTAAATATGAAGCACTTCTCTTAAAAAGTATTCAAAAATAGTTCAATATATATAATTTAATAAACTATTTTTAGATAGTAGTTGGTTTAATAATTTGTTTCCACAACATCATATTTACAGATGTGTTGTTTGTTTATGATACACACAAATTCAATTATTTAAGCATTTAGAAATTTAAAAAATATTCTAATTACTTCTTAAATTTATTAATATTAAAATTGCACTAACCATTATGTTTTTTACAGAACTACAGCTTGATGAGAAGCAAATAAAGAATTATTGTTTGTTGGAAGTTGAAAAACTTCTACAACATCGCGGAAAGTCTCTATTCTACTATGACGGAATGCCTCGAGTGACGGATCTTGACATTCCCTCTCTGGATGATGTTTTGATACACGAGGATTTGAGATATGACAGACTTGCTTTGGCGGAGGAACATGCTAAATTAATTTCCGCCTTGACGGAGGATCAAAGGCGTGTTTATGAGACAATAGTGAGTTCTGTAGAGGTCAACCGTGGCGGTGTGTTCTTCTTATATGGGCACGGCGGTACAGGGAAAACATATATGTGGAAGACCTTATCAGCATATATAAGGCATCAAGGAAATATTGTGTTGAACGTAGCTTCAAGTGCGATCGCATCATTGCTCCTTCCAGGTGGAAGAACGACACATTCCAGGTTTGCTTTTTTGGTTTTTAAAACTTATAATTCCAAATAAATACTAACAAAATGAATTCTAACTTCTAGGTTTAAAATCCCACTCACAGCAGCAGAAGATTCAACTTGCAACATAAAGCCAGGAAGTGCACTGGTGAAGCTAATTCAAATGACGAAATTGATTATTTGGGACGAGGCACTCATGATTAATAAGTACTGCTATGAAGCTCTTGATCGAACCATGCGGGATATTCTTCGACATTCACACGGTTGTGATGGGAGCAAACCTTTTGGTGGAAAGACAATTGTCTTGGGCGGAGACTTTAGACAGATTTTACCGGTAATTCCAAAGGGTAGCAGGCAAGATATTGTGCTGGCGACTTTAAACTCATCCTTCATTTGGCCCTTTTGCAAGGTACTAAGGCTAACGAAGAACATGAGAGTGCGAAGTGGATCAGACGATGTTAACTCTGCATACATAAAAAGGTTCATTGATTGGATTTTAAAGATAGGGGACGGAGTTCTGGGTGACAATGAGGATGGAGAATCATATATTAACATACCTGAAGAATTCCTCGTGCCTTGGATTTCTGATCCAGTTACTTCTATTGTCCAGAGTACATATCCCAATTTCTTAGCACAATGCACATCACCATCATATTTAATGTCAAGAGCAATACTTGCGCCAACAGTTGACGAGGTGGACAAGGTTAACGATTACATGCTCGCACAACTACCATCAGAGATGAAGACATATTTCAGCTCCGATTCTGCATCATTATCTGATTCTGATAGTAGTTTGTTGCAAGAGATCCATTCTCCAGAATTCCTTAATGGAATCAAATGTTCCAGAGTACCTAGCCATGAGCTCAAATTAAAAGTGGGTGCCCCTGTGATGCTTATGAGGAATCTTGATCAATCATTGGGTTTGTGTAATGGCACTCGACTTTTAGTGACCCGACTTGGAAATCATGTTATTGAGGCCCAAATGTTGTCAGGGCCAACTGTCGGTCAAAAACATTTCATTCCTCGTCTTACCTTGACTCCTTCTGATGTCAGACTGCCATTCTCCTTTCAGCGCAGACAATTCCCTCTGATGGTTAGTTATGCTATGACTATAAATAAGAGTCAGGGCCAGTCATTGGAAAATGTGGGGATATTCTTACGACGACCGGTTTTCACCCATGGGCAGCTTTATGTTGTTGTATCAAGAGTCACGAGTCCAACTGGTTTGAAGTTTTGATATGTGACGATAATGGTAGACCGACAAACTCCACTTTAAATATTGTAAACAAAGAGGTCTTTAACAATTTGTAATATTACATTTTGTCTTGAATAAAATTGAGAGCTTTTTATTTCCAATCAAAAGACAAATGTTATGCATTCATTTAGGAAAATAATTAAATTACTATAAAATAATATATAATAATGTTTTAGCCCATGTTGGGGGAAAATATATATTAATATCAAATAAATTAAAATGGCCTTTTCACTCCCGTGCAACGCACGGGTGAGAAGGTGTGTTTGATGCCCCATGCCTCTAGGAGAGCACAGAAGGGGGCTGCCTCAAACTGAGTCCCGTTGTCGGAGATGATTTGCCTCAAACCTTGTGAGGATGTTCTTGAGAACAAAATGACGGCACCTGGCCTCAGTAATGCTGGCGAGGGGCTCAGCTTCCATCCATTTGGTGAAGTAGACGATGGCGACGATGATGTACCTGTTGTTGCGAAGAAAACACAGGATGAGGCCATGCTCCCCGAGGGCTATGCAAAGGAACTCTGGAAGAAACTCTGGCCTCTATAAGTAACTCTGGAAGAAACCGTTGAGTGTTCCAACCGGGGCCATGCGCAGAGGACTACAACGTCCCCGGGAGCGACGATGATGGTTGAGTGTTCCCCGCAACTATTGTTGGATAATTGATACCCATATTGTATAAACAGGAGAGATTGAACAAGAATGGAGAAGAAATAATGAAAGTGTATAGAATGAATGAATATTTGTTATGGTTTACAAGCCTCATATAAGGAGTATATATAGGGAAAATCCGGGTCTGGGCCTCTAATATGGGCCTGACAGACCCGGTTACATAAATGGACTGATAGTATAAAAAGCTAATCTAGAACATCTTAATAATAATGTACAATAATATGAATCCGCTAAACGTGTGTGGGCCACTGTCCAGGCCCAGTAGTCGGCATACCGAGGGTCGGAGTCCATATACTCCATCAGGAGTCCCCCACTCCCTGAGTCGAGAGTACTCGAGGCGAAAGGGAGAAGTCCAAACTGTATCTGCAACGTTCTTCTGTCTTTGATTTCTTCCTCTCTGGCCGGGGACCACCACCCTTGTCCATGATGGGGAGGTGCCTCGTTAAAAACCTTTACTAGGAAAAAACCCAGTGGGAAAAAATCCTAATAAAGGGAAAAAGAGTACACCTAACGCCCCCAACATGAAACAAGAAAGGTAGGCCCCCTCCGGCATAATCACTTTTGTGTAGCTCAACCTGTCTTCATCCGACTTAGCTCTCGTTCGTGCTCATGCGTGATATCTGCTACTCATCCATAAAATCTGACCTCTCAATCCCCCAGTCCCCCACTCCTTGAGGCGAGTGGAGACGAGGTTAAAAATGAGTAAAGTCATTTTCGTACCTACACATTTAAAATGCATATAAAATTTTTCCTTGGGGTTTATGTTTCCGATCGAGAGTTCATCACTTGAAAAAAGTGGAAATGTGAATTGTCGATGTAATGATAAAATACTTAGTAGAGTGGATGCGTGAGCCATTCGTACGCAACGGTCGCCATTCTTGGAATGACTAAGACCGGTCTTCATGCCTGACTTGGTCGGGGCTTTGTGCCTGACTTGGTCACGACTTTAAATCCTAGTGATGGGTCTCAAGTCCCGATAAAAAGAAATGACTTAAATAAATATAAATAATATAAAAATATAAAAATTAAAGAGGACCACTTAGCTTTTGATACACTGAAATATATTGTACTGCCTTTGAAAAAGAGGCCGAGCTGTTGAGAGTGCGTGAACGTGGATTGGATCTCTCACCAATTTTAATTTGGGTAAAACTCTCCAATCAGCCTTTCATTATTTGCCCCCCCCCCCCCCCCCCCCACGTTGACTCCAAGCAAATAAAATTGGCCCTCCATTATTTGGCCACGAACTAGCAGACGTGGTCTGCTTAGGACCGTAGCACCGGATCCTCTTAGTAAAGGCAGGTGAACACCCTTCTGCCAATCCAGATACACGTAGTGCGTGGAGTTTAGGCAGCTGCAGCGGAACAAGGGGGCCGGTGAGGCTAGTCTCCGGCACAATATCGGCTGAAATACATCTTCCCTGAACTCCCAACCGCCCTTAATGATGAAATCAAGAAATCCCAGTCGGAAAATCCCTCGGACCACGTTGGCAGAGTGGTTGGTGAAGGCTGGAACAGAAACCGACCTGGTGGAGGAGCGGCCTACGGTGGACCGCTGACGATGAGTGGCGGGCTGGCGACTCGGCGGTAGAACTAGCTGCCAGCGACGAGCGGCCAATTGTAGAGCTGGGCACTGCAACGAGCTTCGTCTGGTGCAGGTAAAAACCCACCATAAATTCCATGATGGCGGGGACGGTGGCTCCGGCGAGAGAGGTGTCCAGTCCACGACTACCACGCTTGACTGGTCGTCCACTGCGGTCGTCGCCGGCAGAGGGGAGGAAGGGAGAGCTCTGACCATGACTACGAGCTATCCTCGCAGCGGAGCTCAAACTTGGGGTGTCCTTGACCGGCGGGTTACTCAAGCCGCGTCAGTGACCGGAGTTTCAGAGTAGTAGATCTTCCTAGTCGGGATGGGCCCACGCGATTTGAGGTTAACTTGTTCTCGAGAACAAAGCTTGCCAACGGCCATTAATGGCGGGCACGGTTCTTCAAGCTAGGGAGAGTTGTGGCCGGAGAGGGTACGGGGATAGGCGAACGGGCTAAAAGCGGCAGGAGGCAGCTCCACGCCGGACCTGGCTGCTCCTTTGCTGCTTCGTCGACCGGATAGTTCGGATCTGGCCAGAACTGCCCCAGATCTGGACCATTCCAGATTTTTTTTTCTTTTTGAATTTTCCAGAACAGTTCCTTGTTGATTCTTTGTGATTTGGATGATTTTTTGAATGTTTTGGGAGGTTTTCTCACTTGATGTGTTCAAACCTCTCAACGAGAGCACCATTGTTGGATAATTGATACCCATATTGTATAAACAGGAGAGATTGAACAAGAATGGAGAAGAAATAATGAAAGTGTATAGAATGAATGAATATTTGTTATGGTTTACAAGCCTCCTATAAGGAGTATATATAGGGAAAATCCGGGTCTGAGCCTCTAATATGGGCCTGACAGACCCGGTTACATAAATGGACTGATAGTATAAAAAGCTAATCTAGAACATCTTAATAATAATGTACAATAATATGAATCCGCTAAACGTGTGTGGGCCACTGTCCAGACCAAGTAGTCGGCATACCGGGGGTCGGAGTCCATATACTCCATCAATAGTTTAAAAATATCACATTGAAATAGTTAGTTATGAAGAATCACCATCTATAGTTTTATATAGTAAAGTTGAGTTAAAAACTAATGATGTGTCAACTTTTTATTGGATGAAGCAAATTCTATTATCACAACAATTAAAACAATTAATTAACTCCATACATCACACGGCTATTTAAAAAAAACTACCTTCATCACAACCGATTTGGAGCAATAAAAGGAGAAATAATCTCTCTTTTTAAAGTGATATAACTTTTATATTTATAATCCAATTTTTACAAAAACTATATCAAAATTCATAACTTTTTATTATCTTTCATATGACACCAAATTACATATATATAAAGTCCTCTTAATCTATTACTTTATATATCAGTTTTTATCAAATTTGAGTTTTTCTTTTGCGATTTTATAAAACTTTTGGTGTAGTCTGGATATGTAAATTTTATTTACTAAAAAGAATCTAATTCCGGAGAGGATCAATTAACTTTATGATCAGTTAAATATCGTAAACCGTGTGGAACCTTACTATATAAAACTTTATAGATGTGAACTTCATCCAATAAGAAGTTGACACATCATTATTTTTTAACTCAACTTTACTATATAAAACTATAGATGTGGACTATACTCGATCACAGCAATCCTAGCCTAAAGCACGTAACTAACATTTACTCAAAACAGGATATATTTTTTATTAGAAATTAGTTCAAATAGGACTAAAACTATGGAAAATTTTTAAATAGGACTTGCTATTTTGTTTTTATCAAAATATGACCATACTAGTCCTATTGGAAAAATACATATTTTTTCATTCCATTCTTACCCTTCCTTTAAATATGAGTTACAAATAGTCAAAAGCCATAATTAAATGTTTAATTCATAATAAATTCGAAAAAAAATCAAAAATTTGTAGAAAAATAATTAAAAATTTTATAAAATATTTATAAAATAAAAAAATAAAAAAACAATAATTAATTTGTTCTAAAAATAATAATAGAAAATAGTAAACTCCATAAACAAATTAAAAAAAATATGGATGCCTTTCCCACCGCCTGTACTACCTCCCTGCACCACCACCTCCGACCGGTGATAAAATGCCATTTTCCTAAAAATTGCCATTTTTTAAATGCCAAAAAATGACATATTTCTCTTTGAGAATGCCAATATTTTCATTGTTTTCTGCCATAAACATGGCATTCGTAATGAATTTGGTATTTTTCCCCAGGTGACTGGAGGTGGTGGTGCTGAGGCAGCAGAGGCGGCGGTGATTTTTGTTTTTTTTAGTTTTTAATTTTTTTTTATTTTTTTTAAATAAATTATTATAATTATCGAAATATTTTTATTATTATTTTTAGTATTTTTTACGAATTTTTATTATTTTTTATTATTTTATTATGAATTATAACATTTCAATAGCTATAAGGGTATATTTGTCCAAAACACGCATAATTAGTCCTATGAAAACATAGTTTATTTTTTTGTCCTATTTGTGCAAAGTGAGTGACTTTTAGTCCTATTTTGATAATTAATCATTTTTTATGGACTCATGTTCGTATTTCTGAAACCAAGGATCTGCTCGGATTGTTTTCACAAAAATTAAATAAATAACAAAGTTACCAGCTTCAATCAAATCATTGGCTATTAATATTTTTTTACCCAAAAACATGTACCCTTTCAGGTTATAAAGTGCCCGAAAATAAAATAAAGATTCTAAAATTGTTCTTAGTAAAAAATAAATAATATTTTTCTAAAAATAAAATTAGGTCTTACCCTGAGCCTCGGTAAAAATGTCCGCGAGTTGAAAAGTGGTAAGAACATAGGATGGGCTAA